ATACAAATTGCAGCATGGGACCTAAAGTGAAGAACCATTCCCATGGAAAGAGAATGGATTAGATAGGTAATAGATTAATCCTTAGGATTCTGTTTGGAAGTTTTAATTAAAGGTAGCCACTGATCCAAATCAAAGAGTGCAATGAATTGTTTCTCTTTCACCATTGCTTGCTGTTATTTACAGGTCTGTATATGCTGGGGACTGAACTGAAAATGGTGACTAACTGATTTGAGACAATTTTTCTCAACCTTGAGCTTTTTGGAAATGGATAAGTTTTAAAAAGTGTGTATTTCATAGGAGAAGTGATTATAATAATGTGAATAAAACAAAATAATTATATAAGAATTTTAAACAGTTAAAAAATACAAGTAAATGGAAAATGATATTTAAATCTTTTACTAGCATCATCTGAACTACTGTTACTATGTATCTTCCTCTTCTTCTCTCTCTTCTTCTCCTCATCCTCCTCATCCTTCCTTCTCCTTCCATGGTTTCTGCAATAAGAAATTCAGTGATGTAAAATATACTTTACAACATAGTAATGTTAATGATTATCATGTTAATTACTATTGTTATGATTTCTTAGCATTTTCTTAGGTTGCCTCTTTGTTTTAACTATATAATAATAACAAAACTGGACTAAATTCTGAGTCCTGCTAAGTTAGATTTAAATAACCAATCAAGGGCAATACTAAGGACCTTTTATTATTATTTATTGAATCAGAGGAGAAGGCACTATGAGTTAAATGATAGATGGAAATATAGAAACTACAGATTAATCCATTGAAATAAGTAACCAATCTAGAATACTAGCTCTTAGTCTGATGGTGCCACTAAGTTGTATATCCTTGGTGAGCTGATTTCTGAGTTTGTCCTCTTATATTAGATGGGTGCACTTTTAGTAACTGGAGAGATTAAGCAAGTCCAATAAACTCTTATTGTAGTTTTTTTTCTTTCTTAAGAGAGCAGTCATTCAGTTGGAGAGGATTAAAGAAAAAGATGAATTAATTAAGAGGTCTGAAACTTGTAGTAGATATGAAGGCAGCAAGAGAACAATTATGTAAATGAAGAATAGTCTAGTCTACAAGTCCAGATGAAGTTTATCCCAAAGTATTGAAATAAAAACAAAAAACACATGTAAATGTTATCACAGTTATCATTAAGACACTTTATTTTTTATCTTTAAGAAATCATGGAAATTAGGAAAAGAGCAAGATAAGAGGTAGACAAGTGTTTGAACCGGCAGCCTTCTGGTTAGCAGTCAGATGCCTTAGGCATTATGCCACCAGAGATCTATATTCCAGGCAGATAATAGTTACAGTTTTAGATATAGCATTACTACCATTCGCTGTTGAATGGACTTAGACTCATGGCGACTTCATGTGTGTCATAATAGAACTGTGCTCCACAGGGTTTTCAATGGCTGATTTTCCTTTTCTTTTTTGTGTTTCTTTTATCATGGTCAAAACTTACATATACACCAAGACATTCAGCAACATAACAACTTCACATTTACAGCTCAGGGACATTGATGACATGTTTCATCTTGCGCCACCATTATTGCTATCCTTTTCTAAAATATTCTGCCACCATTAGCATAAACTCAATGCCCTGCAAATAAAAACTTCCCCTCTCCCTTCTACCCCGGTAACCACTAATAATCGTTGATATATATTATTTATTTATATACCTATTTAGCTGTTTTTTCCCTCCCCTCCCATCCCATCCCTGGTAACCAACAAAGAAAATTTCCTTCCATATTTAAACCTTTCCTTGACCTTTTTTCAATAGTGGACTTAGACAATATTTGTCTTTCTGTGATTGACTTATTTCATTCAGCATAATATCTTCCAAGTTCATCATGTTATGTGGTGTTTCATGGATTCTACCTTATTAGTGTTGCATAGTATTCTATTGCACGTATGTAGCACAGTTTGGTTATCCATTTCTCTGTTGATGGGCACTTAAGTTGTTTGCGTCTCTTTACTATTGTGAGTAGTACTGTGTGTGTGCATATGGTGTTCTAGTTCTCACTTCTTTAGCATATATACCTAGTAACAGGATTGCTGGATCAAATGGCATTTCTATTTCCAACTTTTTAAGGAATCATCGTACTGATTTCCATGGTGGTTGTATGATTTCAAAGTCCCACCAGCGCTGTATGAAAGTCCTAATCTCTCCACATCCTCACTAGCATTTGTTATTTTCTGTCTTGTTGAACTTTACTGTTAGTGCTGGGGTGAGATGGTTATTTTGATTTCTCTTATGGTTATTTTGATTTGCATCTCTCTAATGGCTAATGATTGTGAACATTATTTCATGTGTTTGTTGGCTGCCTGAATATCTTCTTTGGTAAGGTGTCTGTTCATATTGTCTTCCCTTTTTAAAATTAGTTTCTTTTGTCTTTTTCATGTTGAGGTATTGGAGTTTTCTATAAATTTTAGAAATAAGTTTTTTGTTTGATATGCCATTGCCAAATTTCTTTTCCCATTCTTTTTACTCTTTTGGAGAAGTGTTTTGATGCATGTAAGAATTTAATCTTTAGAAGGTTCCAGTCACTTAGTTTATCTTGTGCTATTTGTGCATTTTGGGTTATGCTTGATAATATATTTATGCCATAAATTATAGCCCCTAAGTTTACTCCTGTTGTTTCTTTGATGAATTTTATAGTTTTGGGTTTCACATTTAAGTCTTTGATCCAGCTAGAGTTAGTTTTTGTGTATGGTGTGAGGTATGGATATTGTTTCATTTTTCTGCAAATCGATATCCAGTTTTGCCAGCACCATTTGTGAAGGAGACTCTCTCTTCTCTATTTAATGAATTTTGGCCCTTTGTCAAAGATCAGCTGACCACAAGTAGGTGGATCTATTTCTGGGTTCTCAATTCTGTTCTACTGGTCTGTGTGTCTTTCATTGTACCAATATCAGGCTGCTTTGACTATTGTGACGGTGTAGTAGGTTTTGAGATCCAGAAGTGTGAGACCTCCTATTTGTTCTTCTTCAGTAGTACTTTCCCCATCTGAGGTCTCTTTCCTTTCCATCTAAAATTAGTGATTGCTTTTTCCATGTCCTTAAAGAATGTGAATGGAATCTGGATTGGTTTGCACTGAATATATAGATTACTTTGA